GATTTTTCATGTATCATAATACCGAGATATTTAATTTTCTGCACATCATTGCAATGAAAGATTTATATTAATCCAGAACAATCAGGTGAATCAAGTGATTTTTATCATAAAATAATACACAGATTCAATGAACATTTCTAAATTATTCTAAAAATTTGAATTTGTACAAATGTCAAGGATAAGTAGAGTTCTGATTTGAAAATTACTTAAAAGTTTAAGAAATAAGATTATGAATACCTTTGAGGCATTATTCCAGTAGAAGATTAATAAATGCATTATAAACTTAGGAGTTTAAAACTAAAACTTGTTTTAAATAAGGAATTGAACTCTTGAAATTGCATTTTGATATTCTGTGATATGAATAATTCTCATTAAAATAAATTTTAATTTGTAAATTAAAGTAACAGAATTTGTGTAAGTAGTTGTTAGTGAGACATTACTATTTATACATTTTTTAAAAACATATCTTAGCATTTTATGTTTTAAAGACTGACCGGGATGCTTCTTTAGGAAAAATTCAGACAATTTTGTTAGTTTCCGAAACATAACATTTTCCCCTTATCCTTTAGGTTCTTTATAATCCATGGAATTTGCATTGATTTCATTAGCAACTTCTAGAAAAGCACTTCTCTGAAAAACCACATTTTTAAAGAGTTGACTGTAAATAAGTGAATCGTTGGTAATGAGTATACTATTAAGTAATAGTGGTAATTAAGTAGGGGAGTAATACATTCAAGATTTTGTAAATAATTTCTTGCTGCCTTGAAAGGCTTATTTATAGCTAATGGCACATAATTTGTTTATAGAGAATAACAATTTATTCCTTAGAAAGTTAGGATATTTAGAACAAATTATAAAGATGGTTCATAATAAGCTAAATTTGAATTTTTGTGAAACCCTAATTTTTAACTGTGGTAACTTACTATTTCTAAATGTTTCATTTGTATTTTACTAGTGTAACATTACATTAGATTCTTCTTTGAAAGATGATAGGAGTATGTCATACCTACTATTAATTGTTGGTTAACCAAAGTTTTAATTACTTTGTCTAATATCCCATCCTAACTTCTGTAGCTTTCATGTATTGGATTATTTCCACAATTCTACCAAAAATTTCACACAAAATCAACAGAAATAGAAGGCAAAATTTCTATCCTGTTGCTAATACTAACTTGTTACTCAAATCTATTTAATACATTTATTTAATAAGGGAAATGATGTGCTTGAATCCATTATTTTTTACTTTAAGATTGCTTAATGATTATATTAGAACTAGTTTACGAATGAGAAAAATATAATTAGCAAGGTGAAATGAATAAACGTCTAGAAAAAGAAAATTAAAGTGAGCTCTATGATGAGGGATAGGTAGGAGCCCAGACAGTTTGGAGTCATCTTCTAACTAGGTTTGTCACATGATCTATTCTCATAAAAGGATAAGAATCCACGATAAAATCCACGTTCCTCTTAAGAAGGAGTGAGGAATCATTCTTAAAGCACCACTAACCTGTCCTCTCACCCCCAGGGTGTGAGCACTGAAAAGGATTAAGGCCCACTGTGGGGAAGCTTACACTGAAGCCTGCATTGCCCTTTCCCCTGTTCTTTCAGTTAAATAGAAGATTTTTAGTTCCCATGACTATCAATCTGGTGCTTTTCACAAGCACAAAATTCTTTTAAGAAAATTAAGAAGACTTATTTTACAAATCTACTAGTTTAGAATACTGAAAAATGATGTTTTGTTAGTATTTCATGTCAGCAGACTATACATTCTATTCTTTTCTGATGCATATTAGTTTAATTTATGTTGAATTTCTTGGTCAGTTTAAGAGTTGAAAATTAAGAACAGGTTCTTAAAAATTTAGGTTTGCTTGGCCAATAGTAATTACAGAGTTTGGCAGCGTTGAATCATGCACTTCATCATGCATTTCATTATATGTGACAATCTTGTGGACATAAACTTTTTAATTTTTATTTCTAACTGACTAAGGTGCTTTCTTTTTGTGTTTAAAGACTTTTAAATTGCTTTTTTAAAATGCTTAATTTGTCTGTATCAAATCGGTGTGATGTTTTATCTTAGAGATATATTTTGATTTTGTTCAATAATTGCAGAGTATTAAACATCCTCAGTAGTTAAGACTTTTTTCTTCCATTTAATTTGAGCTTTTGTTGTTACTAACAAATAATTTGTGGCACAGTTCTCTCTCTCTAAATGACTGCTAGAATCTATATACTTGTCACCTTAGCGTGCTAGAAATGTTCCACTCAGATCAAGAGTTCTATTCTGGTTTTGTATGTTCTCACCTGCTCCTCACTGTAAATCATTGAGATGTCAAGTGTAATGATTAATTAAGCTGCACGTGCAAGTGCTTCTTTTCCCTTCACCTGTCAAGCAGGGTAGAAGTCTTATAGCAAGATTAGATGGTGCTAATTCATAGCTTTTACTCCAGACTGTCAGTGTTTAGAAATATTTTATATTTATATGCTTACTCAGAATATGGCATACCAGGGTTTGTTTGCTTTAGAATTCTTAAATATGTAAGATACAATTATTATAACAAACCCTATCATTAAGCTCCTAATTAGAGGCAATGAGTAAATTCAGAATTCCTACATATTTTGGAATTTAAGATTCATACTTTATAATTACTTATTCAAATACTGGTAGTTGACTTACATTAAAGTAGTTTCTCAGTTGTGTGCATATATAAATAACACTTATGTGGTATATATGTACATATATACTGTGTGTATATGTATATATCTCACATAGCATATATATATATCTCACATACACTATGACCCACATTTATAAGGTTATCTGTTCTCATTATAATATAGCATGGCCTTAAATTTTTGATAAACTGACAGTGATAACTACATTTTTTTCTTTGGGTAAGAAATATTTGTAGCGTGTAATGTTAAGCTTTTAATTTTTTTTACACTGACATAAAACAACAGACTTGGAAAACTTGTTCGGCCCACTCTAGGTCTTTCATAGTACTCTGCTCCTCTTTAAACCATCAGTAAAAGTAAAACCTCAAATTGTATAGTAATCTTAATCTATTATTAAAAGGTCCTAGAAAGGAAGATTACAAGGTAGATTCAGGTTTTGAATCGGTTTTGCCATTGGTTTAGCAGCGGGTGGGCAGGCAGATGCCTGCTCAGAGTAGAACCTATTGCCATTTTTCACCATTGATAGAGTAGCCTTTCAGAGTCAATGAGCTCTGTCAATGTGAGCTTGTCAAGGCTACAACTTCATAGACCTGAGAGGCGGTTTGAGAGGTCAGCCCTTTTCAGGTTCGCTGTGATGCAAATGAACTTTAATGCTTAAACAACTATTGGAATTTTTATGTCTGCTCCTTGTTCTTTTTTCTTCACAAAGTCATTGACGAGACATTCAGTGCTTTTTAAATTGGAAGTTGCATTGTGCTAAAGACCTAGTACAGATTTACGGAGGGCTGAAAGCAGTTAGATCATGTTCTTTTCATGGTGCGATTAGAATCAAATCGATTTCCCTACAGCCTTCAGCATTCAGATGGCAATTTTAACAAAGCTTGGGGGCTAGACAAGGGACAAAACGACTGAACTGAATGTTAATTACACTCTGCAGCCTTATTTTCTTTTGATTTGGGGCTGACTGGCAACTAAATTAACAAAAAGTGTGACCATAACTGCTGCCCTATTTTCATTTAAAAGGAGAGCTGCCTCTAAAAGGCTATCTTTACAAAGAAACAAGTGAGGTCTGCTGATCATTGTTAACAAGGGCACTTTTTTCTTTAAAATTCTTGCCAAAAAAACTGTTCAAAAGTAATGTAATAAATTAGTCATTGGCATATTATTATCCTGAGCGTTAGTTGATTTACTGATTTTTATGACATAAACTTGGAAAATGTAAGGCAGATGTAGTAACTCATTGGTAGTTATGAATTATAATTGTCACCTTTGTAGCTGTGTTGTATCTTTACTGTGTTCTATAAAACATAGTAAAGGTAACATGGTAACCAGATTTCAGCAGATATATTAAGTAAATATTTTAATTTTACACTGTCCCACACCATCTTGATTCTGTAACAGTTTTGCCTGACATGGACAGTTTCATATTTGACTGACTATTACTTATTTTGTTGTTGTTAATAACACGGGAAGTTTTCCCCTTGCCTTGCAAGGAATCTGCAGCTGCACCAACTGCATTTGACGCTGGGGCAACACTGTCCTTTCTGCACCTGCAGCTGAGTCAGTCTCATCCTGACACCTGGCATCATGAATTATCCTTTCCTTTATTCATACTCCCAAGCAAGAAGAATTTTATACTGAATGTTGTATACTGCACTAATCAAGTGATCTTAATGTAAATTTCTCAGTTGTTTCCTGTAACATTAGTATTAAGAGTTTTATTTTAGTATCAGATAGCAGCTTTTGCTGGGTTGAATAAAATTTGTCCTCCACTTAAAAAACTATGGAGTAATAAATATACTTTTAAATTTGGACATAATATTTAAAAAGTACAATGTAAAAATTTGGTAACTGATTATTTTCATTTAATTAGTGTTAATTGTTTCCTTTTTGAATTTACTGTCAAGCAAGGCCTCTTGTGTTTTGTTAATTGATATTTAAATAATTTTTGTTTAACAATACATTCTAAGGAATTCTTACTACTAAAGTACTATAAATATTTTTTTGGAAAGAATGAGGATTTGAATATGTATCATTTGGTAGATAATGTTAACCTTTTAGCATATGGTAGTTTGAAAATCAGAGGCTAATAAATTCAAAACAGTTAGAAAAATACACATATGCTGAAAAACAACTATATCTTTACTACAGAAAGGTTATTATTGCTGTTTAGATTACTATATACATAGTGCTTGAATGTTGGTAGTGCCAACTCCACCCTATACAAAATCATTGTCTTACACTGTTCTCCTTTTCACACAAAAAGCAGCTGCAAAACAAAGTTTTCTAAAACCAGTCAAGAGTAAACTTTTTTCTCATTTATCTTCTAGACAAGAAGATCGATTGAGAAGTTATTAGAATGGGAAAACAATAGGTTATACCACAAGGTGAGTACCACAGGGAGCAGCTTCGTACTGTTGGGGCCTGAATTGCGCAGTATGGAAACAGATGCTTTTGTTGAACGAAAAATATGAAAGGTGGACAAATGGGTTAGTCTGTGTACTGCAATAAAATAGAGCTCATTTTTCTTCTTTTACTCTCCTATGTGTCTAGCTGTGCTTGCACTGGAGACTGAGCAAAAGGAAATGTGAAACGAATAACATGATGGAATATGTAAGTTAAAGGGCTGTTTTGTGAGTTTCTCTATTAAATGATCATTTATTTTGCTTCTGATCTTATTCTTTTCATGATTATTAATCAGCAAAGGTGTCAGGAGCTTAATCTCCTGAGCGCAAGGATTTTCTACGGTTCACAGATGCATGGTTTCATGTGCAGGACTGATTTATAAAGTTATGAATGACTTGAAAACAAGGCTTCACTGTGCTCTGAAAAATAATAAATTAATTGCCAAGATAAAATAGGCTGAACATGTGTTGATGGAGTGTGAAATTTTAGATGCTGTATAAAGAATAACCACAACTTTGGTTACGCAGCAAGTCAGATATGGCTTTTTTATATAATGCTAATCAAGTTTCCAAGTATGGAAGAAAACCTTTCAGCCAAGCCATTGGAGCTTAAGAAACCTTTAGCCTTTATAGATTTTAACTGCCCATCTCAGTAGACTTTAAAGAATCTTTCAGAGTGTTTTTAGAATATTGTTTTGTAAAGATTATCTTTCATAGTAGGGGAGCAGTTGCTCACTCTGTTTATCCTTTAAAAGATATCAAATATGACACATATATGGAATGAATTTTAGGATTTATTCAGGATGGGACTTAATTCCTTAATTTTACTTCAACAGTTTTTCTCCTTTTGAAAAATTCAGAATACTATAGAAAACTATGAATTTTTATTCTCTCCGAAAGCTTGAATGTTTTGTTTTCAATACACAAAGGTTAATCCATTAAAAGAAAACCATCTTAGAAAGAGTTAATTGTTTAAAACTAAAGTCATAGCCTTTGTGAAGTACATGACATATCATTTCTGATGATTTTTTTCTATTCTTTTAAACAATATAGCCATCATAGATAGTATATGTGTGTGTGTATAAAAGATTGATTAAAACAGTGCTTAAATAGTTGGAAATTATCATAAAATCATTTTTCTCTGTAACATTCCCTTTCATTATCATACAGTCAAATCCCATTTCTAGCCTTGAACATAAAAGACATTTTAAAAATGTCTTTTTTTCCCCCAGAGAATAGCTCTATTCAGTGAACCAAATAATGTAGATTTTATCATTATCTATTATATCTTCAAACATGTTAATTTATGATGATGAGAAAGACACTTGATACTTCTTTATAATAAAAAAGCATATTAAAATAACTTGTTTTTAGGTTGACCTATGAAAATGCTAGTCTTGTATTTTCACCATAGATGACAAAGTTTACTTTTGGAGGAGGGATGAATATGTAGGAGACTTAAAATATTTTTTGAAAAAGTATTTGCTGTATTTATAAAATCACTGCAACATGAAATTTTTTTTGTACATTTCTAAATTTACTTTGGTAAGGAAAATTTAGAAGTTACTGCCAGTGTTGTTTCAGGTAGAACCATGTGAATATCATTCATTCATAAACTTATTATATTCCATGTTTATTTTTATGACATTCTTTTATTTGCTAAAAATAAAATAATTTACTAGCCTTTCAGAACATCAGCTAGGTACTTTGTAAAAAGTTTAGTTTATCATGTAATATTAAATAATAAACACTTTTACTGGAGCTGTTATTTTTCTAGCCATCATAAAAGATTTCCTGGAGTGTGATTAAAAA